TCGGAAAAATTCTTAACGAAGATAAAATCATAGAAGCTTAGTATACAAAGGAACCTTACCAAAGCGAAGTCATTGAGGACATAGCATTCGAGGATTGTTGTTCGTCCATTGAAGCAGCATTTTTCTTCCTCGTAGATCGTGTTTTGATTCTTCGCGCTGTTTTTTCGTTTCTAATCGGTGAGGAATTTGTTCGAATCACAGACCGTATAGGATTTTCCGGTCTAATTTCGTTTTTGTTGTTGTTTGAATCGGAATCTTAATTTGTGGCTGTGTTGTGTAGATTTTGGTTACGAAATTGTTGAATTATTACACGAAATTGGAATTGTGATTATTAGGATTTATGAGTATGAACTGCCTTAGGGGTCTGTTGATCGTAATGTATGATGAACATATAGGGTTTTCAGGTAGACGATGTTCGATTATGGTGGAAAGTGATTTCTTACATGGTTTTTCTTTTTGAGCTTTTGAATTATGGAAGTGATTGTCCGATGCATTGTGGTCATGACCTGTTATAGCCACTAGTCATATCTGAATGAAGAAAAGCTTGGAACTTTGCTTTGAAGTTTCTATAAGACATTGCCAATTAGTCTATGTTAGATAAGGGATTCTGATACATTCGGTGTCGTTTTGTCTATGCTTTGATTTTGTGTTTGATTGATGGGACGCCTAATCAGCTATATGACAAGGATTTGGCATGACTCAAGACTTTACAATTGTTTGTTTCTATCAGCTCCATTGTTTGGATCTTCTTGACTGAGTGTTTCATTAAGTGGGATTTATCTTAACTTTTTTTTGTTTTTGGTTATTGATTTCAGGTTGCAACTATTGTAACACCTCGTGTAGCAAGGAAAAATGAGTTCAACTGGTTTGAACCCGCGAAGAAACCTCCAACCAGGTGGCGGCTACGACTACCCGAATACTGGTACTTCGGACTCTTTTGATTCTCCAGAACCTGATTTTGGTGACAGTGATGAGGCGGAGTTGGTTTCTGCTTCTTGGAATCAAGATTATAGTTGTTTTTCTGCTGGCACGAGCCATGGTTTTCGCATATATAACTGTGAACCTTTCAAGGAAACTTTCAGGCGAGAGCTGAAGGATGGAGGGTTTAAAATTGTAGAGATGCTTTTCCGGAGTAATATCTTGGCTCTTGTTGGTGGTGGACCTAACTCCCAGTACCCTTCAAATAAAGTATTGATTTGGGATGATCATCAGAGCCGCTGCATCAGTGAATTCTCTTTTAGGTCGGAAATCCGTGCAGTGAAGTTGAGAAGGGACCGGATTGTTGTTGTTCTTGAGCATAAGATATATGTCTACAATTTTATGGATCTAAGACTTCTTCATCAGATTGAAAATCTGGCAAATCCAAGGGGACTATGTTGCCTCTCTCATGATATGAATACATCTGTGCTGGCCTGTCCAGGTGTTCGTCGAGGAGAGGTCCGAGTTGAACATTTTGGGCTTAACATGGTACAAACCATTAATGCTCATGATTCCAATATCGCCTGCATGACCATGACATTGGATGGTTTGCTCCTCGCAACTGCCAGTACAAAGGGAACTCTGATTAGAATTTTCAACACAATGGATGGAACTCGTCTCCAAGAGGTATAGTACTATGAACTGCTGCTTTTACTTTTCTTAACAATACCATTTTACCGTATGCTGTGTAAGTCACATTTTGATAAAGGATTCATTTAGAAAGGCTTTGATAACAGTATCGGGATTGGTTAGATAGAATCTTATGCGGAGGATATGCTAGTTTTGTATGCTCATTACTGATTGATTAGTCTGCTTTATGAAATTCAATGTTGCTTTGTTACAGGTACGAAGAGGAGTAGACAGAGCAGATATCTATAGCATTGCTCTTTCACCAAACGTGCAGTGGCTGGCAGTATCAAGCGACAAGGGGACTGTTCACATCTTCTCTCTTAAAGTGAGGGTTTTTGGGGAGGACTCACCCTCTTCTGAAAATGAGACTTCTTCAAATTCCCTGCAGGTTCTTGTTTCTCCAGCCAGTGGTGTCAACCCCGGTTCATCATTGTCATTTCTGAAAGGTAAGTTAGAAAGTCCTTGTTTCCTCTTAGAATTGCTTATAGAGCGAAAGGACAGGCCAGGCAGTAAATATGTGAAACTTCCAAGAAAAAACTTTCGTGATTCAGGAGAATATAAATGAAACCTTGTTGCTTGAAACTAGAAAATCATTGAACTTCACTGAAGCATGTCGCTTAGAAGCCGTGGGAAATTTAATGTCACTAGGAAAGTTATTGTTTTCCATTTCTTATCTCTCCTCTAGACCAGCAAATCGAGGAGTACATTTCGTATTTATAATGGATCAGCTCATGCTTCTATCTGGTACCTAACATCTTCAGACAATGTTGCAGGAGTTCTGCCAAAATATTTCAGCTCGGAATGGTCATTTGCTCAGTTCCATGTACCAGAAGTCACCCAATTCTTTGCAGCATTTGGTGCTAAGAACACAATCGCGATTATCGGCATGGATGGAAGGTAATACGCCTTCATAAATCTCTATAAATACATTTGCGAGTAGTCATGTGTTTCAACCACACAAGTCAAATTATCAAAAACATAGCAAGTCTAGCAGTTCACTGTAAATAACTTCACCACACGTCTGATTTATCGGCCTTACAGTTTCTACAGGTGCAATTTCGATCCAGTGAATGGAGGAGAGATGACTCAGCTTGAATATACCCGTTTTCTGAAGCCAGACAGCTGCTCGAGATAATCAGAACGCATGCTTGATTCGAGTTCTACGTACATAACCATTGGCTCTGTATATAGATTTGGTAAAACTGCATAAGATTTGATTCTTTTCAAGCTAGACTTGATTGAAGGAACTGCATTCTCAATGTACATAACAAGATTTATCTCTACGCTAATTTCTGGAGAATACATTTGATTCGGTTACCATTGTTATATTTCAAATAAGAATGTGGTAAAATACATCAAAAACAAAGAGACATGCCAAATATTAAACGGACAGTGCCATTGCAATAACCTTATTTCTAGAATACAGAGTTGGTTTTCTCCTGTGGCTACAAAGCGTCTATAGTTTCGAAGACAGACGAGTCTTGTAGTCAAGAGCAATCATCACTTTTCCGATTGCCTTCCTGTCTTTGATGGCCCCAAATGCAAGATTGGCCTGTAATTGAAAGGTTAAGTGTTAAAGTACATGTGTTAAGAGTTTTGATTTCATAAAGATATACACTATTTTTTACCTGGGAGAGGCTATAGGTATGAGAGATGTGAATGGTGATCAATCCTCTAGCAAGCCATGACAGTAACTCTCTGATGGAATCTTCAAGGACACTAGGTTGGTGGATTCTGTAGCTGCCCCAGTAAAGACCGTGCACCGTCCAGTTCTACACCAAATTAGTAGCAACTTGTGAAGATTTGATTCTCTCAAGTGAAATGCTTCTTCTCTATACTACAAGTTTTGGTACAAATCAATCATTTACCTTTACAAGGGCGATATTAACGGGAAGCACGGGTATTTCACCGCTGGCAAAACCAATCACCAGAATCTGAGCTCCCCAATTCAGAACTTTCATAGACTCCTTTGTGAGTTTCCCTCCTACAGGATCATATAGAACATCAACTCCTTTAAGCTTTCTCTTCTTAATAAACTCTTTGACGCTTGAAATAACATTTTCACTGCCTAAATCAACAACATGATCCACTCCCATTGATTTCAACAGCTGAATCTTCTCAGTTCCTCTACCAACAAAAAAACACACAAAAGATTCGAAATCGAATACAAACACAAAACCAAGAATGAAATGAGTCTGAACCAAGCATATATATACACATACCTAGCAACTGCAATGACAATGGCTCCACAAATCTTGCCGATTTGAACAGCTG